TGCATCTCTCACTGCATCTCTCACTGGATCTCTCATTGCATCTCTCACTGCATCTTCAGACTGATCTCATGAAGTAACATGTTTATGACATGCCAATTCGTATTTCCATTTTTGGCGTGCTATCAACACGCTTTTCAGCGTGTTTATGAATGCCATTGACTTAACTTTATTACTGTATATATATATATATATATATGACTTACCTCAACCTCCTCCCCAAACCTACCCGTCACTGGGGTTAATGGCATTTATGAGTGTTCCCCTTACCATCCTAGGAAAAAAACATCGCTCCCCAGATGTAGATCTACATTTTGCTTTGTTTCGCTCGGACATTTGACGGGGTGTACTGACACATGGAATCACTCGGACATTAATAGTGTAGACATACACGCGGATACACGCGGATAGCTCACTGCTCCTCTCACTGCATCTCTCACTGCTCCTGCTCCTCTCACTTTACCTCTCACTGCATCTCTCACTGCTCTTTTTACTGCATCTCTCACTGCTCCTGCTCCTCTCCGTGCATCTCTCACTGCATCTCTCACTGCTCCTGCACCACTCACTGCTCCTGCACCTCTCACTTTACATCTCACTGCATTTCTCACTGTACCTCTGCACCTTTCACTGGATCTCTCACTGTTCCTGCACCTCTCACTCTATCTCTCACTGCTCCTGCTCCTCTCACTGCATCTCTCACTGCTCCTGCTCCTCTCACTCCATCTCTCACTGCTTCTAGTCCTCTCACTGCACCTCTCACTGCTCCTGCTCCTCTCACTGCATCTCTCACTGTTCCTGCACCTATCACTGCTCCTGCACCTCTCACTGCATCTCTTACTGCATCTCTCACTGCTCCTGGATCTTTCACTGCTCCTGCTCCTATCCCTCCTCTTCAGCACCTCCAGAGGATGTGACATACTCACGCTTTCAAATCCCTGATCATTAAGGTCAGCTCCCTCTTGTACTCTTATCCTCTTAACCTCTTGCGCTCTTTGCCTCTTGTTCTCTGACTCTCTTGGCTCTCATGAGAAGTCCTTACTTGAAGATAAGGAACTCCTACTGGTTCTCTTTCATCAAGACCACATCAGCAAAGATCAACTGGAGCCTAAACAAATTACATAAGGACTGTTTAATGCAAATGGACCAGACATGCAAGTATCAAACTTAGTCTCATTATTTGATACATCAAGTATCCTTACCCATTTTAAAGAAGGGTGTGTTAGAACTAAACTAATGGTTTGCTCAGCTGTTGATCTGCTGAATATCAAACAATGCTATAACATTTTGCCCTCCTGTATTCTGCTTCCGCTCTCTTTCCCTTGGAAAACTGCATGTATGTATGTGTATTTTAGAGTAATTTAAATGTTTAGTATAGTTAATGAAGTCTTTTTCATATCACATATAAAGTTGTCCATGTCTCAAGATCTGGAGTAACTAAGATCTGGAGATCTGGTCTGCTCAGATCTGGAGTAACTAATCATAGATCTTGACTACTTGTTCTAAGTCATACTTAATAAGAAAGATATTTCCCATGCCCCGGAAATGTACTTTTCTATTAATTAATTAATAACCAATGTTCACAGGATAAACCGAGTAATTGGTTGTAATGTTAATGTAGCTACATCAAGTTAACATAAATTATATTCATAATAAATGATAACAAATTATGATTGGTTATTAATATATCATGAGCCAGTTTGCTACAGTTTACACAATAACAGTGTTTTGAAAAAAAAAGTGGACATTTTTGAAAATGGTTTCTGTGTAAACTACAAAAACTGAAGACGATGATGATCAATCTACAAGGTTTCATCGCCATCTAATGGCTTGGCATCAGAATACAGAGTTTTTAGTTGTTTTCGTGGATCCATGTGAATGAGGATTGTTTAGACAATGGTGTCGTCTGTACACAGAAAACTCAACTCAGCTTTTAAAGCATGTTGATGTCGTTTAAATTCAGAATTTGATCCAATCACAATGCTTTTGGTTTTTGTCAAATTTAGAGCCTACTTATTATTCCATACCCACTTTGCAACTTATTGTAATTCCGTATCCAAAGCAATAGACAATTGCTGAATTGATGTTGCCGGTAAAAATAATGTTTTATCATCTGCATACGTGACCTGCATGTCTGTAAATGTAAATGGTCTAACAGCTACATATTAGACCAAAAACCAAGCCATGAGGTCAAAGAAACTAGATTGTGTCAAGACCGACACAGATCAGGGGGAGACTACAAAAAATAAAAACCAGATGCATTGAAGGTTCACAGAAACATGCTCCAGAAGTTCGGAACAAAGCTGGCAGTCTGGCCTCCTTGCTAACCTGGCCTCCAATCGATGGAGAAGGGCCTTGTTAGAGAGATTAACAAGAAGCTGATGGTCATTCTGATGGTCTTGATTACAGAAAGACAAAAATGATGGGCTTTAAAGCAGAGTTACCAGGCTCAAGCTTCTCCTCAGTGAAGAAACATGAAAACACATTTGGAATTTGCAAAAAAAATAGCTAAAGGACAAGATTAGCTGGTCTGATGAACCTCAGTTCCAGGCAAAATGTCTGGATGAAACCTGGTGACGCTCATCACCTGCACAATACCTTCAGTAAAGTTTGATGGCAAGTGTTTTTCTGTGGCAGGGACTAGGGATTCGTCAGGGTAGAAGGAAAGCTCAACGCAGCAAAATATAGACATGGGTTTAATGAAAACCTGGTCCAGAGAATTCAGAAACTTGGGATGGGTAGAAGGTCCACCATCCAACAGAACAATGACACAAAGCAAGAGTGCCTTCAACTCTGTGAATGTCCTTGAGTTGCTCAGCCAGAGACCTGACTTGAACCCAACCTAACATCTCTGGGGAAACCTGAAAATAGTGGTTCACCGACGGTTCAACCTGACAGAGCTTGAGAGGAAGAAAAGAATGGCAGAAAATCCCTAAAGGCAGATGTATAAAGCTTGTTGCATCAATCCCCAAAAGACTTAAGACTGTAAAGGTGCCAGCTTAGTACTGAGTTTAACCCAAGTCTGCAAAAAAAAAAAAAAAAAGATGTGCGAATGTGAAAAGCAGTACTCATGAAGTATGTCCAAATTCTAGTGTTCATGAAAGAGTTTGTGAGAAACACTGTGATGGTTTACCACTTCTGTAAAAATTTGTGAGTAGACATTTTACAATCCCATGATGAGGCCCTGGGTGTGGACTTCCACTTGCCGATAGCAGGGATGTGACACCACTTAAAAAACAGGCCATGTGAAAATGGCAACATGGCAGTAAACTGAATATGGAACTTGTTTAATTTAACTTATTCAATTTATTAAGTTCCTATTTAGAGCTTAATAACTCTCAATGTACAAGTGTTGGGGTTTGCAATCTTATATTAAGAAATATGGAGAACATCAAGTTCTCTGTTGAGGACAACCAGGAACGGTATTTGTTCACGATATTTAGTTTCAAACTGTTGTTAATGTGTCTCAAATTCCACAGTACAGCAGCAGATGAAGTACCTTGATGTGTATTGACTTACACTGAAGCATGTGTTGTGGTACAGTACTGTACTGTATATCCGCAGGATATGAAATGCAATGCTGTGAGTTGCGGTGAACAGTCAGTTCCTCTCCAGCACAGCCGTGGGCTTCTCAAAAGTAGGGTCCTGTCTGTCACACTTGGGGAGGCGTGTCATTGGCGGCTGCCCCTCCAGCACAGGTCTGAGATCAGTAGCTTGTGAAATTAAGGTCCTGGCCAACACAATCTGCTCAGTGAACACAGCACTGGAGCCTTTATGAGCAGGTCACTGATACACCGCAACCTGTTTCTCTGTGCATATGTTACATCACAGCAAAAAGAGGCAAAGAATAAAAGATCTATCTATCTATCTATCTATCTATCTATCTATCTATCTATCTATCTATCTATCTATCTATCTATCTATCTATCTATCTATCTATCTATCTATCTATCTATCTATCTATCTATCTATCTATCTATCTATGAAGAGTTCAGATGCAAAAGCCACTTAATGCACTTGAAATTTTCTTCTAAAATGACCATTTTTATCAAGTTTGTATATTTAAGTTCAGTAATTTCACTTAAATGACAATTAATAGGTAATCTTCATTGCCATTTAAGTGAAATTACTGAACTTAAATTTACAAGCTTGATAAAAATGATCATTTTACGTAGAAGAAAATTTCAAATGGCACTTAGAGGTTTTTGCATCTGAACTCTTCATATAAATATATATATATATATATATATATAGAGAGAGAGAGAGAGAGAGAGAGAGCAATGATTTTCCAATCATCTGCTGTTAGAGAACACTCAGCGGTCAGACCTGTGGTTGCGGCACACAGACGCTCTCGCGCTTGGCGAGCTTCTCCGTCAATCAGAATTAAGCGCTGCGGACCAGCCTCTGCACGCGGAACCACCAATCCTACTACGATAAAGGCGCATCTCATTTTGCATTAGGGTTTGATGATGTCACGTGTCCTTCCTTCAATGGCGAAGGCTTAACTTCTTTAGTAAATTTCATTTAGCCTACTATACAAAACTTGCCAAATGTAAACCATGAAAGTAAATAAATGTAATGCATATTCAATAAAATTAATATATTGTTTTAAAAATTGAACACAGGACAAAATTGTGTTAAAATCCATAATTATCTAAAACACATTTGCCAAATTGTTTTTATTATTTGCATTTGCATACACATATTTATTTACTAGCCTAGCCATATAGGCCATTTAATTCTTATTTATTTATTTTAAAAATTGGTTTATTAATTTCTTGGTCTTCAATAAAAAAAAAAAAACACCTACTTAATATGAATGATTTCCTGCTGACGTTTCTCGGTCACTATCCAATAGAGAAAATGCTTAGTCTTTTAATATTAATGAGCTCGCCTTCCCCGTAGTAGCGTTGTATGGCTCGCGCACCGGCCACTGACTCCACAGAGAGTGAGAGAGTGAGTGAGAGAGAGAGAGAGAGAGAGAGAGAGGGGGAGAGGGAGAGAGAGAGAGAGAGAGAGAGAGAGCAGCCGCACAGGCGGACACAAGCTGTGCAGGTCCCGCGATGCCAGTCGGTTCTTAAGCCTCCCGGTTCACCCCCGTGAGAAGGAAAGGAGAGGACACATTCAAAGACCCCCTTTCCCACCTTAACCACAGACTCTCGGTCTGAAACGGGCAGGAGAAACCAAAAGAGACAGCGTTAAATTGGAGTAAAGCGCGTCCTCCGGTGCAGCTAGCGATAAGAGGATTGCTGTATCCCAAGAACTGCAACGCCGCGTGAAGTGTGTTTAGACGGGAAACATGTCATTGTCTGGGAAAGAAAATAGCTCTACCCCTCATGCCAATTACGTGGGACCATACCGCTTAGAAAAGACCCTCGGGAAAGGACAGACAGGTTTGTGCTTTCATTCAGACATTCAAATTGTTCCTTTTGCCATTGCATTATAATATAGGCTACACGTAAGAGAGATCAGCATGTGTTGAGTTGGCTGATGCTGTGTGTTGGTTATATGTTGTTTGTGTGCACGATGGACAGGTGGATGCATTTCTGTCATTGGTTATGTGCGTTCTGTAGCCTAACACATCGTTTTTGCAACCTTCAGCTCGGGTGTGTTGCAGTATTGGGATCTGCATGCGTGCCCATGAACTTGTCTTATACACTTGAGTTGCACATGATACATAAATGCATAAATGATAATAACTACCTGCCCAAAAGCTTGAACTTTTCTAAGAATAACTGTCAGCAGGGCTATCACCACGATCTACACCTTCATATTTCCATCAGCCTGTGGCCATAAGTGTTTACCTGAAAGTGATCAGTTCATTAAATTACGGCTTTTTTCCGCGTTTATCGTTAGATATTGATAACTAACAAATTCATAAAGTAGAACCCCTGCATAGTCATATTACATATATCTGCATACTTATTTAATATTTAGTTTATTAAATGTTTCATGTCTTGATGTTATTTACAGATTATTTATTCTTTTTTTTTTAAATGCACGTTTTTGTATAATATTGAATAATTCTCAATGAAATATGACCGTGCATGTGCTGGGGTGGCAGCAGGAACCACCAAATCACTGCAAGGAGAAAGTGATGCAACACTTTATTTGCTGTTTCTGCCCAACTGCCATCCTCAAATATTACAAGTGCACTTGTTTTCTAATAACCTCTCCAGCAGAAGATGCTTAGTGCATGTTTTCGGGATCATGTTTGTGTTGATAGGAGCTGAAATTAGGTGACTGCTGGTATTTTATAGTCAAGATCCAATACGCAGAGCAGTCAGTTTGAATAATGATGTGATCAGTTGTGTTTTCTTGGTATGGTTATTCTGCTATTAATGGGAACATGAGATGTTTTCTGATAATTAAGATTATGCAATCAGCTCGAAGTTCAGATCCTCATTATTTCTGTCAAGTGACAACTTTAGCACTTTAGAAATGTATGAATTGCACTTAATTAGATACAAAATATGGTTCCACTTTATTTCGATAGTCCATTTGAGACATTCTACTAACTATAGGTAACTTACATGTCAACTAACTGTCATTAGAGTATCAGTAGACTTTTAGGCTTCGGGTTAGTAGAATAAGTTGACTTGTAGTTGCCAAGTTACTTCTAGTCAGAAGAATATCTGTTGTTGAGGAGCATTAATATAAAGTGTTATGCAGATTTTATGCAGATAATCTACTAATAATGACAGTTGACATGTAGTTGCAAAGCTACTAGTATGTCTTAAAGGAGTAGTTCACTTTAAAAAAAAAAACTTTTGCTGATAATTTTTACTCACCCCCATGTCATTCAAGATGTCCATGTCTTTCTTTCTTCAGTCAAAAAGAAATAAAGGTTTTTGATGAAAACATTCCAGCATTTTCTCCATATAATGGACTTCATTGGGAACCAAACGGTTTAAGGTCCAAATGAGAGTTTCAGTGCATCTTCAAAGGGCTTTAAATGACACCAGACGATGAATAAGCGTCTTATCTAGCGAAACGATCGGTCATTTAAAAAATAAATAAAAAAGTTTAAGTTTAATAAGCACAAATGCTCGCCTTGCTCTGTTCTGTGATGAGCGTTCGTGACTCTCCTGTTCGAACTCGTTTATCAAAATGAACAAATCTTTTTCGAGTCTTGACTCGAAGGGTCCTAGATAAGACGCTTATTCATCGTCTGGTGTCGTTTAAAGCCATTTGAAGCGGCACTGAAACTCTCATTTGGACCTTGAACCGTTTGGTTCCCATTGAAGTCCATTATACAGAGAAAATCCTGGAATGTTTTCATCAAAATTTCACCTTAATTTCTTTTCGACTGAAGAAAGAAAGACGTGGACATCTTGGATGACATGGAGGGTGAGTAAATTATCAGCAAAAGTTTTTTTTAAAAGTGAACTCCTTTAAGTGGACTATCGAAAAAAATAGTTATACACAAGTTTATTTTTTATTAAAACAATTGACTAAATAGTTAAATGTAAAGACTCATACTTCATACATCCACTAAAAATCACCAAGTTGATTGAAAGACGTTACAGAAATGTCACGGTAAAGTGAGGTGGTTCTTCTTATACTGTCGTGTAGAACTTTTTAGGCCCTCTGTAAACCGAAATGCTTCATTGAAATCCCTGACGACAGTTTAAATATGTAACCCGTGCACGTGTGAAGCCTCCAGGATTCAGTTTGTTCATCATAGATCACAGTATATGTCAACTCCCGCTTTCCTCTGTGTTAGTGTGCATGTCTCCCACCTGTCTGCCTAATCAGATCAGCGTGTCACACACATTTGCCATGCCTCGAATGCGACGGACTCAGTGTTTTTCCCCTTGTGGGTGTTCAACGGCAAGTTTAGCGCTGCTTAACTCACTTTCCAGATATCAGGCAAGAGTTTGAAGACAAATGGCCAGTGATCGTAAGCTTCTGGATGCGAGCTCTCTCTGATAGATCTGTTATTTATAGTGTAAAGCGGAAGGCCTGGGTTGATCTAGGCGTCCTGTGCAATGCCATATCCATTATGTGATTAGGATCCGACACAAACACACTTATGTTTGTAATCCCTCATGGTAAGTCCCTGGCTCACACAGTCGTTCACGTGGACCGGGCACTCGCAGGACCACGCGTGCCGTATGAATAGAGCTGGGTTTTTGGCTTTAGCCTTGAGAGCGCTTTGAAGTGAGAAAGAGTGAATCGTCTCGTTTCTTGTTGCTAGGGAGTTCCACAGTCTGGGTTAAAAATGCAGTTTTAAGGTTGTGCTGCTGGTTTATTTTAACTGCAGCTTCTAATTGCATAAACGCACGGTATAATTTCATATCTGTTGCTGTTGTGAAATGACTGGGGGTGGAATCATGTGATTTGCTGAAATGATGCAGTCTCCATTACAAGTTTTAGATTTCAACTTCCCTACGCTGATCTAATACAGGATGATTGCTGTAGGTTTATAAGATGCTTATCAAGAGCAGCTGCAAGTTTGTGTTGTGCTTCTTCACCGGATAGCAAACCTGAAAGTACTCGGATTGTGTCTGAGGACATTTTTAATCATTCGGGATGTTGTAAATATATTGTATAATATTAATTTGAATATATTATTTAATGTTCATGGTACATTTAATTAAATATTTGATCTAATTTGTAGGGCTGTCAAACGATTAATCGCGATACACACACATGCATGTATATTTAAGAAAAAAAATATAATTTATATATAAAATATTTATATATAATATAAGTTATATATAAATCTGTATACACTACATGAAAATATTTCTTAAATATATACAAGCATGTTTATATATGAAGAGTTCAGATGCAAAAGCCTCTAAGTGCCATTTGAAATTTTCTTCTAGAATGATCATTTTTATCAAGCTTGTATATTTAAGTTCAGTAATTTCACTTAAATGGCAATGATAATTACCTATTAATTGTTATTTAAGTGAAATTACTGAACTTAAATATACAAGTTTGATAAAAATCATCATTAAAGAAGAAAATGTCAAATGGCATTTAGAGGCTTTTGCACCTGAACTCTTCATATATATATATATATATATATATATATATATATATATAATTATATACAGTGAACCCACATATATTATGTAAACACAAACTTTTATTTTGGATGCGATTCGCGATTAATCGTTTGACAGCCCTACTAATTTGCAATATTCTATGTATATTACATTTAATTTTTTTTCATTTGTGAACATATTAATATAGTTTTTACTTTATTTGAATGGACCCTTAATACCGATAAAACCTTAACGATACCCATCCCTACCTTTAACACACTCCATTGACTACAAGTTGCATTTGCATGTCGACTAACTCTGATTAGAGGGTTAGTATATTAGTAGTAGACTGTTATGGGTTAGGGTTAGAATAAGTTGACATGTAGTTACTAGTCAAAAGCATGTTCAAAAGTGACCATCAAAATAAAGTGTTACCTTAATAGATGTTCAAGATGTTGCTGATTATATGAGAGGTATCCAGACTATAGTTGCATCCCTGAGGGAAATGGGAAAACATACTGTAGTCTAATCATATTATTTGCGGTCTTTGCTTTCGATTAACGTAAATCTCTAAATGTGCAACCTGAAAAAATTATTTGGGGCGAATGTGAACCAATCAAATACTTGAAAATGATTTTTGCTGAAAGTGTAGTACTAGCATGCTTTGCTTGTGACTTAATGAGGAGAGTGTTTTTGAGCAAGATGAGAAAAGTGGGAGACTTGATAGTGTTTAATGTTCAATTATGTTGGAATTAATAAAACCATTTAAATTACTCTGTGTTCTGATTGTGGAGAAGAATGGAGCATTTGCCTTGCTGTGAACGGGTACAGCACATGTCATTACTGCTCTGTACAGTGAGCATTTACTATTTACCCTTTTAGCATGCTAACATGTTAGCTAATAGTTTGTGATCTTGCTTGTACGATCTTATAATTCAGTCATGTGACTCAAAATAGGGAACCATTTAAAATGACGTTGATAATACTAAATGGACTCACTTAAAAGCCGAATCGCTGGTAACATAGCAAGCCACACAGTTATTTGTTTTGCACTTGTGTTCGCCACAGTTCTGTTACCAACGATAACCCCATAGACCTTTCTCACAACTTCCGTATTTGTGACCGGAAATACGCAATTGTCGAGGTAATCTTCTTTCGCTCCATTCATAACAGATAGTGCCGAAGGCAACTAGTGAGAGTTGTTGCGTACCGATCTTTTTGGTTATTCCCACAGCCATACCTGTCGTTTTCATTCCTTCCCTCGTCAGTTCCCTGTCGATGAAGTTCGAAGGAACTGGATTCAAGCAATCTGGCGGGATGTTATTGATCCTGTGATCTTCTGTACTTCTCATGTCACCATTCACTAATAAGCCGTCATTGTTTGTTTATTTTTT